TCGTCTGATTTCTTCAAGTAAACTTACTAGTTTGTTGTCAGATATCCATGCTTCATTAGTTTCATCAAACGTTTAGTTTTATCATGGTTGTTATGTTGTGAATGGCACAAGAAACACCTGATTTCTCTGCTCAAAACTTTGTAAGTCCACCAGAGACCACAACAGATCCACTCTGAGCCTCTCCAAACACCCACAACCAGTCACAACAGAGCGACACATGAGCCAAGCTGCTCACAGTTTGTCTGCATGTGGTCTGCAGATCAGAGTGCACAGACACCGAGTGTGGTCCATCAACAGCTCTTCCTAATCAACCCCTGAGACCCCGGCCTTTTAGCCGCCAGCCCTCAACATGTCTCGCTGTGTTTACACACGCTGATTAGTTTGGTAAGTGTACAGAATGTCCCAAGGACGGTGATCTCTGAATCAATGTGCCCCTCAGTCCCATCCTTTATCTTCCCATCCCTCCGTCACAAAAGCCAGAGATCCCCTTGGAATCGGCGAGAGAAATTAGGGGATCAGAGTCGGCCAACTCCTGAGCAAACAGACTGAGCTAATGGACCAGCCGGTTTTCTCCTCCCCTCAAATTATTAGCAGAGCGAGGGAATGTAGCCAGTCCAGTCATGATGTTAATGCTAAAGCTCGCTAATCCCTTACACACACACAGTGGCCTCGCACTTGCCTTGATACACACACAGCTACCGGGTAATCACTCCACCACCCAAGCAGTGGGAGAGGATGAGAGAGCAAAGGAATGAGACTGAAAGTGAACACATACACATGGCGGGGTTCCTATGTGAGATGTGAGAAAAACGGCAAAGGAGGAGAGAATCCAGGACATCGTTCATGGCTGAAAGTTTTTCCACAGAAGCTTCGATTTGACATGATTGTCCTCATGTATGTGTCGTAACTGTGTCTAAGATTTTTCTGGAAGTTTGCTTGATGTGTTACTTCCAAATATGTCAACTCTGAGCCCTTACATTTCACAAACAAGAGCTTGGAATAAACTGAAAAAGTATTTGGATGCAGCCTGATGCACACAGGAGCACAAGCCAGCACAAACCCACTACAATCTTCCTCCTCCTCTCCATCATCACATCACTGTGGAAGCCTGTCTCCTCCAGGTTTAGGTTGGCAACAGCTGGCTAAAGCTGAATATGCTAATGCCAGTTCTTGGGAGGAGTACTTTGGGCTTATGAGGGATTAGCGCTTGTTGGCCAGCCCTGACTCCCCGCTGAGCGAGCACGCTAATACAGGTGTTAGTAAACTGGCATTAGACTCCAGCTAATTAGCTTCCATTCACAAAGTGATTGTCCAGCCAGCTCTGCCATTTGTAGTGGTGTTTGCTCATCGGCAGGGAGGTCTCTGTGCTGTGGTGGGTCCGTTATGATCCGACATGATCTCCCTTCTTCCTTCTTTCACTCTCCCTGGAGCCTGCTGGACAGCAGGGCCCATCCAGGAGACAAACTGAGCTGGTTGTATAAGAGCAAGAGGCCAAGACAGAGGAACAGAGGAGAGCCAGCAGCATCACACTGCCACAGTGTCCATTATATAAATATGAGAATGCAACTTTGTTTTGGTCTTCCAGCCACACTAAGCCAACATTACGACCATCCAAAACATTCTTGTGTCTGACTATCATGCGATAAAACAAACTATTGACAGCCAGAACTGTACACACCTGACATGTCAGTAAGAATCCATCATCATTACTCAGCAAACTGTGTGCACAATTACTGTATGTACAGTGGATCAAGCTGAACCAGTGAGATAGTCTGTAATCCTAATCGCTGTTCGTGTGCTACTATGTGTAGCGTGCTACACTAGTGAGGTAGGTCATGATGTACGTCACGTAACGTTAAATCAAGTGAGTAACAACCGTACTTATCTGAGGCCAAACCCTAACCCTAACCACAGACTTTTGTTGGCAAAACTTAAGGATGTAAACCTAGTGACTGTTTTACCAACATTTTAAGTTTATTTTGAAAAAAAAAAGACTATGCATATAACAAGCAGAAACTGTTCATTCCCTGTGAAAAACCAAAGTATATTTTGAAAAGACACAATGCATGCGCTGTCCCTGAACATCCAAAATAGATACAGGAGGATACCTAGTGTGTCATATTTTGACATGTATTGACCACTGACCAATGGTATGAAAAGTCTTGAGTGTCACAGCCCAGGGACTACCATTAGCTTTCATTAGCTGGTAGCATTTATACCCCTCGTACAAATCTCATTCTGTCATCTGACAACAAAAAAGGAAGATGTGTCAATGACAATACTGAATCACAAAGTGACCAAAGAGAGAACTACAGGTTACCCTGTAGAGCTTTACCCTGATAAGAAGAAGGTGAGTAATGTGTAGCGAGGTGTAGGATACAGAAAATATATTTTAAAAAATTACCAATAAATTAAAATGAAACATTAAAATACTGGTAATAAAATTATTGTTTTTCCGTTATTTTGTTTCACATCAGAAAAAACCCCACAAACATGTCATGACACAGTATGCATGGAATTATTCATTTAGACAACAGAAATTTAAATGACAATTAGATAAATTATTGTGCTTATGCCACTGAAAGTTAAAATATGATGATGTGATATTACTGCCAAGCCCTCCATTCAACCAAAATCTCTTTACCAAATGGTGTCTGATAATTTTCTACAAAGTTGCTGTCCACAGTGACATGCCAAGATAATAGAAAAATATGTTCATGTCAAACATTTATTTTATGAACAGATATGGACATGCAATCTTTATTTTTAGATTTACTGGCCTGTTTGTGGCCTATTGGCTATTTAAATCTACTGCTGACCTACGATCCATGTCTCTCTGAGTCCCTATTTCAGTTACTGTGTCCAAAATATCACTATTTTTAGAAACAGGCCAAAACAAAAAAAAAAAAAAGAAAAAAAAGAAATTACATTTCAAGTAATTTCAAAGGTACTATAGAGTTAAAATACCTAAGGAGGTCAGGGAATGTTTTTAACCTAAACATACAAAGCATTATAACTACAGTTATGAGGCTTTCTCCATTTTGTCTTCAATTCAATTCATTTCAATAGAATTTTATTTATCCCAAATGAAATTCTTGTGCCAGAGCATGCTTCAAATTACAGTAACACTAGGTACAGTAACCACAATTTAACGTTCACAGCAAGTAACATCCAGAACAACCAGTGGGTTCCCTGGTCACTGGTCACTCACTGGGCCCAGTATACCTGGCAAAATATACAAATATACAAGACAGAAGTGTTCTCAAGGAACAAAAGCAAAACCAGTGCTTGATAGAGTAACAACAGGAGTACGAGAAGTACAAGAGTTACTAAACATGAACTACAATGGTGGGAAAAACCAACTGTGCCTGATAATCAATGTTATACTGAATCTTTGTTCTTGAACAGTAAAAATGTGGTAGGCCTGTGTTCCGTGAGTATTTTGCCATTGCTGTTTATGACGGTAACTTCTTCATGTTTGCATGTGCGATGGACAAAATGATTAACCCATTATGAATATAGGTGGAGGACAGAAGCTGAGAGATGGGTATTACGTGCCCTACACTGTCGCTGGATGTGGGAAAGAGACTAAAGGTTAGTTGGTTGACATTCCCGAAGCCTTTCAGCTGGGGATGCCGGCAGTTCAAAGGACTCATTAAGCTTTGCCCGTCCTGCCACAAAGGGGAGATTTAAGACAGCAAATAGATCTGATAGTGAAAACTCAAAGCCAAACACAAATATCCACTAAGAGGCTTTGGTGTATTATGCCATTATTTCCCCATACAAGACTGATACAGACTTAACTGTTTCAAGTTTAATTTTCTCCTGGGAAAGTCTCATCATAACTGATAATCTGTCCTTTTCATGTTTCCCATTCAGATAAATGATGAGCTGAATACTGATAACACCAATCATAAATATTGACATTTCATTAGGTGTTGGTGGTCCTAAACTCTGCCGTAAAATATTCTACTGAAACCAACGAACATATCGACTACTATACTTTGGATATATATTTTGAAAAAAGGCTGGTAAACCCTGATTAATGTGAGTATGAGTCCCAACGGCAGACAAGAAGGAATCTCCTGCCACTTAGCTGACTGACTTTAACAAAGCCATGATGATGACAAGGACTCAGGGGCCAATACACATTCACACAGACAAAGGTTTGCAGCTCAGCAGCAGGAGAAAGTCTGTGGTTAACTTTGTGAGGAAACAAATTTCACTTCATTTGTCTAACATTTCACTGGACTGTCTCGTCTATGCAGAATTGTCTTTTATCTCCTTTTCGGGTTCCTTTGCTCGAATCTCCATGCATGGTTTGGAAGCTCATTTTGCTGAGCTTGTTTGATGATATTTGTGTATTGAAGGCCAGTATTATTCAACCTACTTATACAGCCTCAGATTTCTTTGGGCATTGTCACTCTTTCACAGTTTTTGTCACAGGAATGTTTGCACTTCCACTTTTTTTAGGTTTTGTTTTTTCCGTTTGGGTTTTTAACGTCAAAGGTGCAAGTAAGCAAGAAATATGAAGGTGCAGTCAGGTGAAATGGCAACTGTTTTGTTTGTTATTCAGCGTAGCATGTATTTTGATTTTGGTCAGTGCAATAAGCACACCACAGGCCAACTACTGGTTTGATTTTTTTTGCTTCTTTCATCTCTCTTTCTGTCACAAGAAACCACAAGCACACATGCCATGACGGTCACTGAAATGCCGCTGGTTATGACAAAGTTTACCAGCATGTGCAAAGTAACACTATTTATACAGAATTCATCAGTATATTTGGTTATTAAGAAAAACTAACTCTCAGAGCGGTTTAAGCGGAGTTATGGGTCATACACTCTAAAACAGATGCAAGCACATTCGGCACATGTGCATGTTTTTATGTTTTACCTACACTGTGTGTCTGCATAGAGTGCAGTGTTAACACATTTGCCAGCATGCAACATAATGTGGGTATCAGACACTTACTGGTTTGAGTAATTCAAATTTCACTTACCCTAGAATGATGGTGGCTTCACTCAGATTTCTCCATCGCTGGCAGAGGGCAAACTTGTTGTGACGGGCATGGCAAGACTACTTAGATGTAAGTACACGTTGCTCTCTCCTTTCCTCTTTTCCATATTCTACACTCAGCGTAGTTGCACATAATGCATGAAGGCTTGGATTCTTCCTAAAAAAGAATAAAAACATTTGTTGTAATTTTTTGTTGTAACTCCTGAAAAACAATTTAATCACAGTCATCTGATTGGTCACTGGAAATCTCCACCATAAAATAATCCTTTAAAAACATGTCATCTCACAAACTTCTGTCACATCTGCGCCTTCCTTAATCTGTGCTGTTTAAATCTTGAAAATGAGTTTATTTATAGCTCAGTTTCATCCTGTAAAATCTGTGTTTTCTACATCAGGATAAATTATGTTTTATTTAAATGCACTAATAAGAGAAACCAACTAAATGCAGACGGGCAGGCAGACATATTAGTTAGCAGCAGGTTGGCCAGATGTGCAAGTGTAGTCTTATCTCTACCTGCTGGGAGCTGCCTGGTCCCCCAGACTCCCTTTAGGACCCTTTATTGAAAAACAGTGGAAATCTGTTTGCTCCTTTAATGAGCCCATTGTTCCTCAGAGGAGGTAAAGCAGGTCTCATTGCTGCTTAGCTGCAGCTTTTTGAGCAGGAAAGCTCCTCTGAGCACCGCTGATACTCGGCTTTACCTCGAACATATTGTGAAGGTCTGAGCCTTATGTCTGAGCCTGCAACAAAGCCGAGCCTGAGGAAGACTGTGAGCCTCTGATCAGCAGTGAAAGAAGCGGTACAATAAAGTACCTCCACAGTAGGGCAGAGGATCTGGCAGCTGGTATGGCCTTTTTAACTCCTCAGACTTTAGATTTTTCCCCTTAAGTTTCTCCTGATGTTGCTTTAAATTGAGACAGAATAGTTTGTATAACAATTAACATACCAAATACCACTATATAGAGAGCATTTTTTTAAGGAATCCGGGCCTTTATAAATTGTAATTGTAAATAAAAAGTACAGTTTAATAAATGCAATATTTTAAAAACTGCTTAAAACACAACTAATACATCATCAAATTTGCAAGTTCTTTCTTTTTTGATGCTTATTCATAGAGACTCAGGTGAAAATCAGTTTGAACTCTCTAAAAAAAATTGTCTTTTTTTCCAGTGGAAATCTGTAAAATGATGAGCCTTGCTGTGACACTTCATTGAAGCAAAATTAAGGTTACAAACCATAATATGTCCTCACTGCAACCCTAAAGACAAAGTGTCTTTAACACGCTCAGAACTTGAAGTTTATCATAAAACTCTCATGTTGCTTTCTTACTGCTAAAACTAACCTGTAACAAGACAACTTGAAACACACTGAAATATTCATGGATCTGTTATCATTTGGACGATAAAACACATTGGTGACTAATTACCATTGAAGTGTATGACAATAAATGGATATCTGAGCAGAAGGTCACAGAAAAGCAAAAGGCATAATCTTGACTATTGTTCGCACCAGCCGCATCAGCAGACACAGCAACAAATAACGGCAACAGTCGGCTCTAATGATGGAGACTTCTCTCACAACACACACACACATCATAGGTACCATCGAACGCTGCATCTTGATCAGACAGTGCCTCTCTAATTGAGCTAATCCCCACTTCAGGATCAGCGCTGTCCCCTGAGGTCCGACCCTCCACCCTGCCTGTCTTCTGCTCTCACTGTCCCGGCTTAAAGCTCCCGTCCCCTCTGTGGCTCATGTGGACTGCAAAGCTGTTTATTGGGAGACAATGGGCAGCAGATTGTGCTGTCAGGCTCCATTAATTTCCATCATTAGCATCACACTCCAGAGTCTGTGGAATCGGGGGCCTAAGCCTTCAGCTGTGTTTGTGTACAGCGTGTGTGTGTCTGTGAATCTGTGTTTGTGTATGTACATGTATACAGTATGTAGGCATGCATGTGTACACACATATGCTTAAAAGTCTTATTCATAAATGTCTTAACAGCCTTTTCTCTATCTTTACAGAATTTCAGAATCTGTTTTAAGGAAATAAAAACATCAATATAGCATGCGGTGCAATATATCACTATACAAAAATGTGTCCATGTAGATGTTGATGCTAACAAAAGATTATCGACAGGAATACTAACTAAATCTAATTAGTTGTGACAAAGGGTGCAAATAAATGTCATCGGTTATCACTGAACCATCAGAGGTCTCAACTGCTGCCTGACAATCCTGACAAGCTTATAATCTTAGAACAATGACCTGCAGCCATGGGTGTAGATTTTGAGGAGGACACACGGGACACATCCCCCTTAATATTTAGAACATGTGCATTTGTTGCCTGAATAATAACCTCCTGAGACCCTGCATCCTCATATGAGGACATCATATTTTGGGTTTGCAGCACCTTAAACTTCATTCTGTTTAACTCAGACCTGTTGTCCTCATTTCTAGTGGTAGTAAGATCACAATACACTAATCCATGTAAAAACAAGATGGCAGTCATCTCTGCCAAGTCAGTCTACAGCTGATCACGGCACAAGAGTGGACAAGGTCCAAAACCTGATCACATCACGTATGAAACTTGTTTAATAATGTTTGTAGTTTGATATGGCAACAAATTTGACCAATTTTAGTAACAGTAACAAGCTAAGATGCTATTAATGAGGAAGCACTTGTTTGAGGACATAAGGACTTGATTTTTTGTCTCATTTGAGGACATTGGGACTTAATTATTGTTGTAATTATTGTAATGATCCCAAATACCCTGGAGAAATTAAAGATGCATACCAATCAAAAGTTCGGGTTTAGGAGGATAAAAATGAAAGTAGCAGAGGACTCTTATTCTGACATAATTTAAGCCAGTTAGGCCATAAATTGATGCAAAAAAGGCACAAATTAGTGCATTAAAAAAAAAATAAAAAATAAAAAAAAATCACTAGAATGCAGGAATTTAAGTGTTCGATTTAAAACATTTTCTTGAGGATGCCAACACCCCCAGTTTTATATGTGTCCTCCCCTAATGTTAAAATGAAACCTATGCTCTTACCTACAGCAGCCATCTAAAATCAGTTTGTGTTTAGGTGTATAAAAGAATCGAACTAAATCGTTTGGAGACTCTTATAAGTTCAGACCTTTTCTTTTTAAATTTGAGTACATTTACATCTGCACATTTTTATTCTTCCGTTTGATTTTATGTAAAAGCTCTTTGCATTAAAAACCTTATCAAAAACAATTTACAAATTAAGTAAAAATGATAAAACTTGACAGCAGTTAAATGCATGTTTCAGGAGGAACTACAACAGTTTGTTTTAATTCCAGTTTTGTTGCAAATATCATCAATGTGTCAACCCATAAACTCTGTATCGTGTACAGTATTGAACTGTGAGCTCAGTCACACCTGAGATTGTTTCTGGATTTGTTTTCATCAGAGTGAAAACTTTGGTAATTTTTCTGTGACTTAAAACATATGAAGATACAGTATTGTTGACTTTAAACTAAATATTCTAGCCCTGGTTCAGCTGTGACTTTTCTTCTGTTTGTGCATTTCAGCCTCAACTACAGAAATTACATGACACACATGGTATATTCTCGGTGTGAAGAAGCAGTTCTACTATATCTGTGATTCTGCGCCAAGATCACAAATCAAGTGTAAATCCATATAGGCAAATGCCTTATTATATTAGCATACATTCATTATCTGTTCTACCTGTTTTCCCCTGCACCTGTAGTAAAAGTCTTACAAAACATTTATCAGTATTTGCCAGCAGATATTGAGCGTTGGTTTCAACTTCAGAGACATACATCAATGAATCCCTCGTTCATACTACATACAGTATTAGTTTGTCCTGTGTGAGCCATTATTTCACATCCACTGTTGGTAAAGCTAATCCTGTCTGAATAGGACTTCAGGTGAAGTGTGGCAGAACAGCAGTGACAGAGACATCAAACATATTATGCAATGCTGAGGAAACACAGGAGGGACTGTGATTGAAATATAAAGAATTTGAAAAAGCCAATGAAAATCAACTCCTTATGATCCATATGTCTTTTAGTGTGAGCTAATCAATGGTCAAATGCAATTGACCACTGACCACCATTGGTATTTCCACCTCCAGCAGCGGGGCTCTAAAAGGAAATTGAACCACGTTTCTGCCACGCACCCACTGAGGCATAAGCCTTCTTACTCCAACTTCCTGTCTGATCAATGCGAGAGACAATGACTCAACAGGTGCGACAGACAGGAGCCCAGCAGCAGCTTTCCTCCCCGCCGCTAGGCCCAATTAGCACCCGCGGCTAAGGAACAAAGAGGCGACATTTCATTTCAGCAGAGTGCCAGTTTAAGGCCTCTTCTCTCAACCTCAGCCTCTTTTCTTTCTGTCTCTTACTGCTGACATCTTTAAAGGATCATCCCTGGCTCCATCATATTCTATTAGATTGGGTCGATGCCTTGTGTTCGAAGTGGCAGGGGTGTTAAAAACATGGGGTGTTGATGAATTCATTGCATGTGACTGGACTTGCTTTCTTTGTGTGAAGGTTTTGGCTAATGAAACCCCCTGAAGGTTTGACAAAAGGCAAAGACATTTTTCAGGGTTTGGTTCGTACTCCAGGTTCAGGCTGGACTTTCTGACTGAATCACACACAAGTCCTGCCATCCCGCATAACTTTTATAGAAAGATAAGATCCTATGCATCCTAAATTTAGTTAAAAAGCTTTACATCTCTTTTACAGTACCTCTGCTGTAAATTGCTTTTCTCTTTCTCCTCATGGCTGACAGACCATCATTTATGTACTGCTATTAACTGTGCCATATTTAACATCAAGTCCTTTTATTCAACATCTTTTCAGATATTCTATTTATGGTTTTTGCACATTAAATCTTCCATAGAATGTTCCTCAAATTAGGCCAAAACACACAAATTTTGACAGAGTATTTCTTATGTAAAAGAAGCTTTTATTTTCCAGCAAGTAATTTTAAGAGTGTGACCTGACTGGTTTACATGACACCACAATGGCTGAATAGCAGCTTGCATTCAGCTTTGTAAGATAAAAGAAATTACAGTAAGTTAAGCTTATGGGTTTAAATCTCCACCTGCCTTGTTCAGATCAGTCTCTGCTCTATAAAGGTTGGTCCAGTCTAATGAAGTCATTACAAATGCTGCAACTTCAAATGAAGAGGACAGACTTGAATAACCTAAAGAGGTTATAGGTCAGTTTGGCTACACCTACAGGATGTAGAGTAATATTGAGACAATGTTCATTGTCCAGCCCATGATATTTTCAGGAATGGATTGAGCTGATGACAAAAATGGATTCATTTGAAAGGGTTACATACAGAGTGATGGGGAGAGAAAGTATTTTTGAGTATTTTCTGGGCCTCTCCCTGGCCCTAATTTTGTACTGGTATAACTTGTTGGTAGATTCAGATGTAACTGGTATGGTTAAAGCACTTTCTCTCTTTCTTTTCTTTGTTTCTTTTGTGTTGTCCAGGTTGTGTCTCATGTTGAAGCTGTAGCTACTGAATGGCCGCAAGTAGCCTTGGATAATTTTAGGGGAGAAATGACTGTCTTTGTGGACTTAGGTCTGTTAAATCCACCTCCGTTTTGTCTGACAGGAAGTTGTCTGTGCTTTCTGTTTAAAAAAAAAAAAAAAAAAAAAAGATGGGGCAGTGAACACATCTTTTGATTGTTCTGTGTTATAACTGCTGTTTTGTTCTGTTGTCTTTATCAATAGCTTTGTCTACAACATAAACTAAAAAGGTTTGACACAAGTGCTAGTTCCCTGCAACTAGAAAAACAAAGCTCTCTGCAGTGATAAACCAGAAAACACAGGTGCAGGTCAGAGTGGTGTATGCAAGGGCTATGGGAGTGCTGCAACACAGTATTTCTTCACTGTGGTATTGCTTAAAATATACCACAGTGGCAACATGCTTGTCTATAACCGAACGTGCAGACAGAAGCTAAACTGTCCTAATACCAGTATTACAGTCTCAACTTGCACGGGTATGTATGCAATATCCATTTTATCAACAGCACAGTCAACTTTCTGTCGCATGGCTTATGTGTTGGTGCATTTGACTAAGCATAATGACTACTGCGTTGTATCTGTGTTTACTTTCTACTGCTGCTCTGCATGTCTGAATGTCATGCCAATCTGTGTGTTGGTGCTACATGTTGCTTGCATGCTGTTTGATGTTGTAGTGTTATTGTACTGTACTGGTGCTCTGCTGATGCTTGTTGCTTTGCATGGCTTCTGTTCTACTTTGACAATTTCTGTTTGCTGTAATTAATACTGTCTTTATGCTCTTTGTCGTGTGAATTTTATCATTTTATTGGTTTCAAAACATTTTACCAAAGGACTGTAGTTGAAAATTAGTCAACTGGCTAACACTAACACATTTACAGAAATGCTGATTAATGTGCATTGTCCTTATAGATAAAATAAATCCAAATCTAAAAATCTAAACTTTGATGACTTTGGGCAAAATGAAGGGAGGCCAACTGAGACCAGGTGATCTGTTTAAGAAGGGGGTTGAGCTTTAATTTATACCTTCCCCAAGACTGAGTCCTAAAACCTGCATATGAGACAGCATTTTGGTACTCTCGGTTCCCTCATCTCAAAGTCAATAAGTTTTTTGAATGGGTTTTTGGTTAGATGCCTGATATAAGGTCTGTGGTTAACACAAACTTTAGAGACTTTCACGTTTTGTTCTACGACATAAAACACATTGTAAATAATCTACTTGTGAATTTTGAAGCTTTTGGGTGTCTTTCAGAAGACAGTTGCTAAATGAGACTGAAGAATGTCATCATGCCAAATACAGCTTTACAGCCTGTGATAAGAATGTTGAGTCATGCGACCAGTGGTGTAACTGAGGGTATATGCAGGTATATGGGGCATACCCACTTCCTTCTCAGTAACCTATCCATCTGCCTAGTAGTACACCCACCCCATCAACTACCAGTACAGCACTACATGCGACCATGGTGTAGTGCAGGTATAGCACACTAAGTTTTTATGTCCTGCCATGCTCATACACACATTACTGAAACTCACTTTAAATGTTTGAAACAAGTTTCCCTGAATGAGTATCACTATTTCAATATTGGGAGATACAGGTGGTGTACATGAAACCTCTAGTAACACCAAATAAACAATTAAATAACACAGGTAGACTCTAATTATGTTTTAAGATGGGCCATTATGGCCACCCACAGACGCCATAACGGGAGATATGATGAACTGTCTTGAGTTTAGTTTCACTCACTGTTTGATGATCCAGGTGCTTGGGTTGGTTTTAGAGTTCACTGAACTGCAGGATGTACGGAGAGTTAAAAGATGATTCTGACTGCCTTGACAGTCGTGTTAAAAAAATGCAAACGAAATTCCCCAAAAAACGGGCCTTTCTCAAACAAATTTCAACTTAATGGGGTAATAAACGACTTCATTAAACAATGAAAACTAAGATTTACCTAAAACGTACGGCGGGTAAGCGGCCTCCTCCACGCTCCACCCTCACTTCCGCACACCTGCCTTTAATTAAAGGTTCCCAAGAAGCCAGGTAAGGTGGTGCGTTAGAGTGACTCAAAAAATAATGGGAAACTAGGACTTTCTAGAAATGGCTTTTAACAGCCATAACATAGAAACTAGAGTCGGCGAGGAATTTATAGTATTGAATATTGCAGCGATTCTTTATAGTAGGGGTGTCAAACATACGGCCCGGGGGCCAGAACCGGCCAGCCAAAGGGGCCAATCCGGCCCTCTAGTTGACTTTGCACACCTAATTTTGATGCAAATGTGAAGGCTGAGAGGACTCAGGAGCAATTTAAACAGTGACAGATAGCCTACTTCATGCAAATACAAATAACATATTACAAAAAACTAATATAACATGCTAACGTTATTGGCACAAGCCTATGGCATTTTACATTGTATAAATTAGCCTAGCAGCTAGTGATCTTTTTCTCTTCTCATATAAAGCCACGGACAACAGCAACATTAAATAAAGTTAACGGTACAAAATTTGGCTTCATTACAACTCACAAAGTTCAGTGACAAAACAACTGTCTTGTACTAAACATGTTTTCCATACAAATATAACATGCTAATGTTATTAGCACAAGCTTATGGCATTTTACATTGTATAAATCAGCCTAGCAACTAGCAGAGATTTCCTCTGCTCATATGAAGCCAGGATAATTACTAGTACAAATTCCTGAAGGATAAATTATACACAAAACTTAAAATGCTATTTTTTTGTGGAGGCTTTATTGTCTTCACAATTTATTGTTTCTTATCTGTGAAATACAAGTAAATAAAACCTTCATTTCCACTGAGGGAAATGTTTTCAGCTTATAAAAGTAGACAAGAGGTCTGAAGGCCTGTGACGTGTAGTTACATTTCCGAGGAGGTGTACGTCAGGCTATGGTGTAGGCTCCATTTTGACGTAGAGCCTATGCCATAGCTCCGATTCAACACAGAAGTATCAGTTCCGCATTAAAGGCTTCTCCACTCCGACCAGAACACAGCTCTCTGAAATAACAGTGAATACTTACTGTGGTCATACTTAAAAGATATTGAACATTGTGCAGGATATTGTCAACTAGCAGCTTCAGTACAAAATAATCTGGATCAGACTTCTGTCTTAAAACAATATGGGTGGAACCCTGCTGCTGAAGCAATGACAAAACCTCAGATTGTAAATGGTTTGTAAGGCAGCGGATGACTTAACCTGCTTCTGTGTTAGCTTCCACTTTAGCTGAAAATTATGGGAAAAAAATCATATGTAATGAAAGTGAGTAATCGACTGACTGAATGTGGAAAAACTGAGATACTGTTGAATTTGCACCAAATGTTTCTTCTTTGCTTGGTAAATGTATGAATGTTTTCTGAGAAAAATTGAAGGGGTTGATATTTGTAGGTTATTGTGCTGTGGTTTCACTGGTCCAGCCCACTTGAGATCTAGTCTTCACTAGTCTTCACTTGTAAAGTGTGGGACTTAATGTTGCAGTTGTGCGACTGTGCATTTGTCTACCCTACCCATGGTTATCATCCCTTTATAAGGAAATTGATGATATCCTTAATGGTTGACACTTTATTCATAAATATAAACATAAGTATTTTACCCCAATTTCTGAACATCATTTATGAACATCTTTCTTAACCGGCGGCCTTTTCCACAGCAGATATCTTGACTGGTCATAGTGGGAAAATTACACTGATGGCTCCATTAGTGTCCCATAAAGTGTGGTAATAAGTCAGAAACGGCCATCATTTTATTGATTGTAATAATTTATACCTGTGCTTTTTCTACACATCAAAACGTCTCCTGTCAAAAGGTTGTGTCAGAGATGAGCATCATGTTTTTAAAAGTATATTTTAATGTGCACCCATGCTTGTTTTTTGAACGGAGCTTTCATATTCAAGTGCGCATGCGCAGTCCGTACAGCATTGTCCATAGTGGGACATGAGGATGAGAACGAGGTTCGCAGAGGTTCAAGGGTCTCTCCCTTTCTGTCCAGTTTATTATAATATCATACCTAATAAATACATTATACAGTTTACAGTATTGCTGTGAATATTCCCGTCGATCACTGACGGTGACGATTATTTCTATCTTTCCAGTCAGCCTATCAACGGAGCAGACACACAGCACCGTCCCCTAAAATGAAGCAACCAGGAAGTGTTCCAGCAATTTAATCGTCGCTCCTGGCGATGTCTGTTATGAAACTACTGGTCACCGCCCTAGGAAAAGCCACCGGGATCTTGACTGTCTTAATCGTTGTCATTGCAGTGGTTCTGAATTATTTCAACGACCCAGTTCCGGTTAAATACGCCAGGTAACGATCAGCGGAGGTCTCTGTTTGCTTCTATGACAGCTGCACACGGCACACATACAACCGTTAATGTAGCTGCTGTAACACCACAAACATACATTGATTGTAACGGCAGCTAAATGCGAATATATGTAATGTTTAAATGTGAGCTACAGTTTTCCCACACCTGTAAACGTCAGAGAGATATCTGTGTGAATGTTAATGCTGCAGATAGTTTGTCAGCCTCTCTGCTCTTAAATGTATGCCTTTAACCGTTGTTGCTTCCACACCTGTCACCTCTCGCACACATTTCACACATTAAAACATAGATTTATTTGTCTTATTTCAGATAATATGCCCATTTAAGCAACAGGACTTCCACAGTTTTGAATGTTACGCCTCAGCACTCTGTCTCACTGCTATAATGTTATTTTACCTCATTAAGTCTTGAGCAAAAACACAAATGTGGACGCTTTCTCAGTCGTTTTAAATCCTATCCACACATAGGACATGTCCTCATCCACAGGAAAGTCTTGGGAGCTCAAAAGGTTTACACTTCAGGTGCACTTATCAAGCATTGCCTCTCCATGTTATCAACAGTTGTGTCAAACAGTGACTAAGCACTTTCAGACCTGGCATGCAGAGACACATATATGACTGATCCTGATTTATTAGCTAATTAGACCTGTTAGACCAGTTTCAACTGCGGTTAAGTATGCCTTTATTCGGCTTCCAGCTCTACCAGTTTTATATGTCAACATCAAGGTTTATTAGCAGGAGATTTATGTATATTCAGCAATGCTTTGCAGTATAAGGTGTCAGCATTTTCAGCGTTCCTCCTTGGGTCCCCATGTGTATCCAGAGAGCCACCATCAAACCAAACCCCTTTAAGAAACACGTGCGTTTCTTTTTGGAAAACTCACCTTGTAAAACAACACTAGGACTGCATTCTGATTCTGAATTATACATCTTTACACATGTCATAAATTGCAGTTTTTTATGTTATATACACTCAATTAATACCATCCACCAAGGTTGACAAGAGTCTAACTCACTGCAGAGTCGACTTCCCTCTGTCCTAACACTGAACTAGTTTCAGCCTGATGATAGCATTAAACTATACTTTGTAAGTCAGTGTATTTGACTGCACAATTCATTTCCCATTTACCGCCCAAATAAGTATGTAAAAACATACCTTATGCCAAGATAGTAAATAATGTTTGTTCAGCATGTTTCACATTCGCACCAACTGTCGGCATAAAATACCTTTGTGTGATTTTAGCATTACCTGCACTTACGCATGCTGTTATCTGTTTCTGCTCACAGCATGGCTGAGGACATGAAGACGCTGGAGGAAAACTTCAGGCAACAAAATAAAAGCTGCTTCATCCTCGGTGCCTCTGGGGAAACGGGCAAGGTGCTGCTTAAAGAGCTGCTGGAGCGCAACATCTTCTCCAAGATCACTCTCTTCGGAAGGAGGCAGCTCACCTTTGAGGACAAAGCATATGAAAACCTGGTTAGTGGGTTGATTCTCCAGTCAGTTGGCTCCCATCACGCTGAAGGTGACATGTCGCTTACTACTGTGTTTTCCATGCCTCCAGGTTCAAGAGGTGGTGGACTTTGAGAAGCTTGATGATTATGCTGCTGCGTTCCAAGGCCATGATGTTGGCTACTGTTGTCTGGGAACAACTAAAGCGAAAGCAGGGACTGTAAGTTTAACTTTATAAATCCAACATGGGTTCTTTACTGGTTGTACTTTAGCGCAGAATTACCAAAATACAGATTTGATGGGGTTGTTAGTCCTAAGCACTCACTCATTCATTTTCCGTAACCGCTTATCCTGTTGGGGGTTGCGGGGGGGCTGGAGCCTATCCCAGCTGACATTAGGTGAGAGGCAGAGTACACCCTGGACAGGTCACCAGACTATCACAGGGCTGACACATAGAGACAGACAACCATTCACACTCACATTCACACCTACGGACAATTTAGAGTCACCAGTTAACCTGCATGTCTTTGGACTGTGGGAGGAAGCTGGAGTACCTGGAGAAAACCTGCACTGACACAGGGAGAAGATGCAAACTCTGCACAGAAGGGCTCCCCCACCCTGGGTTCAAACCAGGAACCCTCTTGCTGTGAGGCAACAATACTAACCACTGTACCACCGTGCCACCTTAGCAATAGATCAGCAGTTTCTTTGCCATGTGCCAGCAGTAGTGCCCAACTGAAACTAGAGGGGGCAATATGTCACATGTTTTGTTAATTCCTTACACTAAACAGCTACTATACTCGCTGTAATATTAAAATAGATATATTTTTACATTTAGTCAACTACAGGTAAGCCGTGGCAGTCAGTGTCGTCAAAATATTGTTAAAATGCATTTTTATTTCTGCTACTTCTTTCTCTTATTTCAGGATGGATTTATCCGCGTTGATCATGACTATGTTCTAAAATCAGCTGAGCTTGCCAAAGCAGGAGGCTGCACACAGTTCCACCTGGAGTCCTCCAGAGGAGCTGATAAAAACAGCAGTTTTCTCTACCTCAAAGTCAAGGTATCTTATTTCCTTCCTATACTGCTCACCATTTACTGAAATCTTATTTATTTATTATACTTATTATTCCATAATGATTTTGGATAATCACTGAAAGATAAACATGAAATGGATTTTCTTCCAGGGACAAGTGGAGGCAGAGATCGAGGCACTGGGTTTTGACAGATACGCCATTTACAGACCGGGGTGAGGGATCTCATTTACTTAATTCAATCATTTTATGAGACACATTTATCATACGAGACAAGAACAATTGTTATTAAACTAAAATGTACATGCAGCAGGGTTCCCACGTGTCCTGGAAAACAGTTGACTGATTTTCCGGTCATGGAAAATACATGATTAATAAGAGAGAGTAAAATGTCCTGGAACATTCTCCTATTTCCCTTTAGCTGAGAATGAACTGGTTTGGTATCTATTGGGGATCCCTACCATGGATAACACTCCCATCTAAAAAGGGCTACATCATGTTCAGGATCCTATTAATAGTCAAATGGTAGTTAATGGAAGAGAGTATCATGAATAGGCTGCTCTTGGTGAAAACTTAGGGTGTGCCACATCATCTCGTTCACAATAATACCGATATAATTTTTAATATCATGAAAAATTCATATCATGATATTAGTGATATTTGGACCTGTTGACATATTGACGTCACGGCAACAACAACCATGGCTGAAAATGAAATTATTACCACCTCTATGATGGTTCCAAAAAGAGGAGCAGCTTCAGTAGTGTGGAATAAACTGTGGCGTCCTGAATGTTTTATGAACGGCCCCGGACTTCTCAGACTCTTTTAGTGACTTACAGCTCAGAGGAAACTCAGTCAGCGGCTCCTCTGGCAGCAGCACAGCGTCTCTCCCTCTCCTCTCTCACCATCTGTCATAAACATTTGGTAATGTAAACCTACGTGACGCTCTTTGTTCGACAAAAAACCTACATATATGTGAACGTGTGGTAGTTGTGGTATCATAACAGCCTGTCACAGGTTACAGCGTGATGATTAGAGGAGAAATGGCAGAGCATAAAGGTCCAGGTGGAAAAAAAACAACTCAACCATTTAGGATTTTACTAAAAGAAGGAAATCACCTGTTGATTTATATATATAGATCCCAGGGGACATTTTTTTGTATTTGGGAGCTGTTTAAATGTGTCATTTGTGGAAGATTTTATTTTGTTGATCTATTATTGTTTTATACAGAATCTGAATCTCACTCTGAGTTACTGTTGTTCACAAACTAAAGAAATGAGAGATCACTTTTGTTTAGTTTTTACTGAATATTTGAAGGCAAACTGTGAAACTATATCACTTATTTTGTTGCAGTTCTATTTTCTTTTTTAAATAATTTGTCCTACCGTCAAGAATAAGGTTATTGCAAAAATACCCTGATATATTGTGATATTATTTCACGGCCATATAACTAGTGGGAACACATTAAACACACACCCAAGTCATGGGATGGATGACATTATAATTTCAGTGGCTGAAACTTAGAATAATATAAGTTACATTATGCTTCAAATGTGCATATCACTGCTGGCTGTTAAGCTGTTAAGCTTTATAGAATTTTATTGTATTTCTATAATCAAATTGTCAGAATTTCTACACCTGTACATGATTTTATCCATAGACTGCACATCTTTTGAATCAGACTTCCACATAGAGAAACATATTAGGGTATTGCACAATTCTGTCAAACTTTTTCAGCTATATACCCCCTCTGAAATATGTTTTCAGTTATGTACCCCCCGACCAGCGCAAAACATTGTTTGGCAGAAACACATTTAACAAATGTAAGTATAAACCTGGTTGCATTTGTTGCCATAGTTGACAGTTTACAGCAGTTAACAAATGCACTGAAAGTAGCAATATTTAATACAAAATTTGGTTTATCAAACTTACATTTTTTATTTGAGCTTATTATGCATGACTGACAGTTTTAAAAAGAAGAAAAAAAATTAATGTACCCCCTGCAGTACTCCAAAGTACCACTAGGGGTACTCGTATCCCCTTTTAAGAAACACTGAGGTAGATCATCACTGAAAATGTCCTGGAAAATGATCTCTAGAAAAGAGTGGGAACCCTGATACATGAATACATTCTGTACAACACAAGTTCTGTGTATAGGGAATCATCTTATCTTAATCGCATACTTTTAACTTGGCTAATACCAAATATTTGCACAGATATACCTGAAAATAAGCATCCTCATCCAGCTGAACTGCAGTTAAGTTTTAAGTTTTATGTAAATGACACCAAAACACATTGGACTGTGGGAATACGGGGATGGATAATGACACCTGAAAACATTACGCTTTTCTAATGTTTCTGGGACTGTGATCGAGTTTGTTTCTATTGCCTTGCTGCTGATTTTGAAGTTTGACAGGTTTCCAAAACTCCATACAGGAAACAAGGCTTCTGTGACACCATGTTACCGTTGTTCAAAGTCATGGCTGAAGCATTATAGTGTGATAGGAAAGGTACATTTTTACCAAATACAAGATTATAACAAAGTCACTGTGGTACAGAACTTAAGAAATATTTGATCGCATACTTTTACATCATATAAATTATTGATCAGACTTGATTGTCCCACTCTACTAAAGTCATTCTGCATGACATATTGAAAATCAATGTTGTCAATCGCCACAGTGGAGAGAAGAAAATTAGGTCAAATCTGCTGTATGAAGTTTGTGATTAAATAACCCGATGCTACCCAAATACAGTCTCTAAATCATCAATACCTTTTGTGTTTGCCTCCAACAGGGTTTTACTGGTAGATCGAGTGGAGAGCCGGCCTGCTGAGTTTATGGCCAGGAAATTCTTCAGTGCCCTTTCCTCTGTGTGTTCTACGTCCATGTCCATCCCAATCCAGGCGGTGGCAAAAGCGATGGTGTCAAACACTCTGATACAGCCTGAGAAGAAGACGGAGATCCTGGAGAACAATGCCATCGCCACTCTGGGGAAGAGTGCAGGGAAATAAAGGAGAGTAGGAAATACACTGAGGTGAGAAAAACACATAACAAGCAGTGGTTCCTGACATGGGACTGACACATGTTGGGTTAATGCTGTAGTCCTGTAAACTTAAGAGAGATTTAAATGGCAGTGTGCACTCTGAGATTACACACAAACAGAACAAATAAGCATAATTAATAATTAGGAGGTAGATTTATTTGTTCTGCATAACAAATCTATTCATAAGATTGCTGGTCGGTAAATATTTGGGACTCTGGTTTAAGGAGTTGTAAAGTTCTGTCCAATTTTGTTCCCGAGTCAGATAAAGAAAATTCTGCTAAGATGATCACTTAATTTATATATCCACAACAAAGGCTTTAGCTTTCATCTTAAGGTAATAATTCATGATTAATATTCAAGTTTTGACACAGTCCTCTTACAGCTGTGGTAAAGATTTAAACAATGAAGTCTGGAAAGAAAATATAAATCAAGTAGTTAGATTTCTTTTGCTTAAGTTACCGTAAAACTCAGAATATAAGTCGCACTGGCATATAAGCAGTCTATTTTTTAAGGTCTCAAACAGGGAAAACAAGGTTTTATATTACTATTTGTTAATAAAAACGTTATACAAGTTATTCCTACACTGTTTCCCTTTATTTTTAATTTGAAACACATTCAAAACACAATAACCTCTTAAGCAGCTTTGGTTACTTTTCAGATTGCAATTTTCCAAACAACCTCTTCAGGAAATAAAATTACGGTATAACAACATCTGAGCCATAAAAATGAGTTTAAATTAACGTTAAACTTCTTTTTTCTTTTTTAAGAAGACAGCATTACAGTACCTTATTACAGTGTGGGCTGTAACTATACATGCTTACTCAAATCCCAAAAACGAATGAGTTTAAATTACTACGTAGTGCCATCTTGTGGGTCAAATTACCTATGTCAGCATTTACCTTGGTCTATAGGTCGCACCAGTCTATAACCCGCACCCAACTTAGATGAAAAAAAGGGGGAAAAAAGTGCGACTTATACACCAAGTTTTACGGTAATTCTTTGGACTTTGGTTAAATTCACTGTTTTTCACATTATTTTATTTTCTCTTCTCAGGTCATTTCAGCAGCTGTACGGAGACGACAACATAAGCAAAATATTTTATCATGGAATTATATTGTTTTTTGTTTTTTTTTTTGTCTTGAATAAAATTTAATATTTTCATCAGGGAACAACTGCCAGGCTTTATCATGTGTGCCATTTGTGCTCTGATACAACACGCTGACCAACTGCCTTAAAGTAAATGCTGACGTTCATCCTGCATCAGATTAAAAATTCAGAATGTCTTTTACATGTTTTCATTAAGTTATTATCAATATTTAACTGTGTTTGATTTAGAAAATTGTTCTGATCATGACTATCAATATTATTAATATCTGATGTCTGTATCTGAGCTATACTGCATCTGTGCACCATTTGGTATATTGCATGCATATACACAATATCTATGCTACATCACAGGTCATTTATGAATTCATGCAGACAACATGCAGATTTTTGTTTTGGTTGCTCTCATTGCTCAAAGTGAAGCACTTCAAACTGCCTTTGTGTTTGAGAGATGATTCAAATAAAGTTGCCTTCTCTCTCTGTCTGGCAGCGCCCCCTTGTGACTGAATGTGGTTATGTCATTGGTCTCTAAATACTCGTATGATACAGACTCCTCCTCCTCCAGAAACCTGAGGTTCCATTTTATGTTTAAGTCCCAATAGCCAAATGAGTCTTGAACTCTTGAGATGCCACCTCGCAGAAGGTGACCTACACAGTGGCATTTTTTTCTGTAGGGTCTCAAACAGGTTTTCCAAGAGACTAGATTAGAATTCATATCTGTACATTTAATCTGCTTTAAGATTACAGAAATAGTCATTTGTGTTGATTAACCTGCTGGTGCTTTGTTTTTTAAATTCTGAATGAATTTAAAAAAAAACACATAGGTGCTCATGAAAACATGCTGTCTGGGGTGATACTTTTAATAACATGATGCTCATCTCTGATAGAACTCTTTAACAGAGGACATTTTGACATGTAGAAAAAGCACAGGTATAATTTATTATAAATTATAAAATAAATGATGGCTCAGTTACATACAGCCGTTTCTGACTTACTACCGCCCCTTACTGGGACACTAATGGAGCCATCAGTGTAATTTTCCCTCTATGACCAGTCAAATATCTGCTGTGAAAGAGGCCTGCTGGCAAACAAAGACGTTCATAAGAAATTGGGGTAAAACACTAAGTTATGAATAAAGGATATCATTTCCCTGTTTTAGCATAAAGAAGTTCATTCTGGAAACATTCATCCATTTACAAAACAAATGATGAACAGTGAACAATATCCTAAGGAAAAAAATGTGTAAAATCAACAGTATGTCTCAGGTTTTTTCTCATTCAGTCAGTCTACTACTCACTGTCATTACATGTGACTTTTCTTCATAATTTTTCACTAAAGTGGAAGCTAATACAGAAGCAGGTTAAGTCATCTGCTGCCATACAAACCATTTATAATCTGAAGTTTTGTCAGTGCCACAGCAGCAGGGTTCCACCCATATTGCTTTAAGACAGAAGTCTGATACAGATTATTTTGTAGTGAAGCTGCTGGTTGACAATATTTTGCACAATGTTCAATATCTTTAAATATAACCATATAAAGTATTGATTGTTGTTTAAGAGAGCTGTATTCTGGTGAGAGTGGAGAAGCCTCTGAGGCAGTATTTTACATGGGATATCTGCTCACTGTTGAAATTGTGCCTGAAACCTCTCAGCCTTCACAAGAGCATCAACATTAGGTGTGTTAAGTCATCTAGTGGACCGGATCGGACCCTTTGGTGGGCCGGTTCTGGCCCCTGGGCCATATGTTTGACACCCCTAATCTAAAGCAATCTTTGTAGCAAGACAGTCAGTTGTTGTTTCACACAGTAAAACAGATATAAAATGTTAAGAATTAACTGCTGACAGTCTGCGGGTCCATACTCTTTTTTTTAATCCAAAATATACAAATGTTTGCCTGCACACATCAACAGATTCTTCCTTCCTTCCTTCCTTCCGCACATGTACTGCATATACACTGCACATTTCATTAAAACACAGAAAACACCTTAATTTAACTCTCAAAAGTGATACTAAGCAAAATAATTTACCTCAAACTGACGTATTTGAGGGGAACACACAGCTTTCTCTTCCTCCTGCAGCCTTGGGTGTTGCCTTCAGGGCCATGCAGCAATTAGTCCACAATGAGGAACAGCTGAGTGGATCTGCCTCTCACTGCTTAGAGTGTAGAAACAGGTGTCTGGGTCTGTGTTCCCTGTTTCAACAGGTTGAGCATGAGTTAGTTTTGGGTATGGTGCTGCAGGAAAAAAGCTTAGCAATGAGCGCTACACATTGTTTGAGGTCAAGTGTCCTGTTTAATGTCACTTTTCATTTTAGCTATTTGAATACTTTGTAAACTTATGGTCCTAACCTGTGTTGTCCTTTACTCTGCAGGCTGTTTGTGCTTTGTTTTTGGCTGCTGGTTGGTGATGTAAATTGTGAGATTACCCAGAGAGGTATTGCATGCTATTTTAACAGCCATTAACTTTTAACACACCTGAAGATGACTGTTGTATAGACAGACCTGTACAGTCTCCGTCAGTGTGTTTTGTTTCGATAGGTCATGTCCAACATGTCCACGCAGGACAGGCCCCAAGGGGAGTCCACAATGACAACAGAGACTATAAAAGATGGAGTGAACCACCTATTGTCAGAATCCCTGCAGCTGGTTACAAGATATCAAGCGTGGACAGAGGGACACAAGGCAACATTTACCCTGCACAAGAAGACCACAGCACTGCCTCTAGATCATCACAGATCCAAAGCCACTATCCTGTTATGCCTGAAATACAAAGAAGCAATGATCCAAAAAGACAAGTTAACCATTTCCAACCTGGCTTCAGCTCAGCCTCAGTTACTCAAAGACGAAGTAATGTGATGCACAGCCGCTCTGGAAACAAAGCATTTGCTTTCCCTGATGGCGAAAAGACTCCTCCAGTTCACGACCCACTCCATATTTATCATGCAGGAGCTGAGTCGACAGGAAGGTTTTCATCTGTTGAGGTAGACAAACCTCCAGTAGGCTTACGACCCAACAGAAGGGTCCCCATCTTCTCACACAGCAGTAAAGCAAGTCAGACGATTCACGTAAACCCCTCCAGACCCAACACAAATCCACAAGAGTCACATCGCATACCCAGGCCTGAGGTTGGTGGACATCGCTCTGTTTATGTTTTCCCCAAAAGCTTTAATCATGGGAGAACAAACTTGCTACGAAATGTTTTCAAACCCATAGACAAGGAGACAGACTCCGTCATAAAGGGATATTCTCCTGACAGCAACTCAGCAGGAAAAGTTGACTCACAGATATGGCGTCCCAGGGTCTATAGCAGCGACGTGATGTCTGAAGCAAGAGGATACACCCATGTCCGCCACCTCAAGCCTGCCTTTGACAAAACAAGGCCCCAAGCTAGTTCTACAGCAGATAGAAAGTTCTTGGAATCAGGGCATCCACCTGTAAAACACAATCCTGGCATTTACAGCCATGATTCAACAAAACTAGGGTTTGGTCCCGGGGTTCCAGCATCAGGTGAAAGGCAGCGAAATTACAACTTCGGAGGAAGCCAGCCCAGCAGGTGGCATCCTCCAACACCAGACAGAGCGCAAGTTCCTATCCAAGGCAAATTCAAACCTTTCCAAAGACATCCTACAAATGATGCTGCTCACAACCACTCACCATACAGTGAAACGACTCCCACTCAGACAACCCTTACTCCTCATTTAAACTCCACGGGTACAACTTCATCAATTGTTCCTTCAGTTACTGGAAACTGGAGCACCAAGTCTGCTTCACCTCTGCAAACAACGGGCCGAGATGAAGAACTCAAGCCTCAAGCATAGAACCATGACGGCCAGTCTGAGAGTTCAGCAGAAGTTGGATCTTCCTTTGAACAAAACACTTGCAGTTTCTCCTCCAAAGCTGCCACCAGCAGATGGAGAAAGGATCTCAAGATTTCTAGACATCATTAATCCAGTAAATTGGAGTTTAAATTGACCTGCCAGATGCTGCACAAACGTCAACATGGGGGGCAGCAAGAAGGTACACCTTTGTGGTCAACTGAAGCTTTTTTGGCATCTTATCTAAATTTGTTATTTCTATTTGCAAGAATGTGAACGTGAAAGTTGATAGTCATACTATTTATGAAGTAACTAACTTTATGTTCCCCCCCTTCAGATTTTAAACCGACTGGGAGATCTGCACTTTTCCAGAAAGGGTCTCACTGTGAATAAAAGAACATTTAAAACCTTCGCTAATTTTTGTTCCTTTGTTTTCTCTTTACAGAATAGTTTTGCTATTGTAGGTACACCACAAGTCAGAGTTGATCAGAGGTTAGTTTGCAGGTTAAAGCTTTTCTCTCAGGTAAAAGAAAATGTTTCCGAGTGGTCGAGAGCACTCACGCCAAGAGAAGAGAAAACGTCTTGTTTTCACAGTACACTAAATTTTTGTCCAGAGCAAGGAAACACAAGTTTTAAATTTGAGGGACATTAAAAAAATACATGAATATCATACAATCAAATTTAGATTATGATGTTTTGGATTATTAAATTGTGAGCCAAAGAAACACCACTGCACTAGTTCCATTGATCCCACTCAAGCACTGTACTTGTCTGTACTTAAGACTTGCAATTTTAACAACTGTTTAAATTATTTTCCAAGCAAATACATTTAATGGTTCCAGCGTCTCAAATGTGAGGACTTGCTGCTTTTTTCCTTTGAATTACTGGAATTATTCTGATTAAAATTGATGACAATTTCTCTGCTTTGAGTACTTTTGCTTTTAATACTTAAGTAATATTTCCAACACAGGACTTTTACTAGTAACTCAGAATTTTAACAGGGTGGTATTTCACTTAAGTAAAAGATCTGAATACTTCCTCCACCACTGCTGCTGACAGTGTACACAGTATTACAAAGGTTTTGTCATTTCTGTTTCTTTTTCATGTATCTGTAACACCAGGGAAACATTGGAAATTCATGTTACCTTTGTTTAAGCTTATTTAACACTAAGTGGGTTTTACTTCTGCAAAACTTCTTTTTCTTCCAACAGAAGAAAAAGTGGCATCGCTCCAATTCTTGGGCATGCGTCAAGGATATTACATCACAGCACTTGCCCTTATATCGTGTTTAGGGATAGTACCTATGCTCATAGGTTACTTCATTATTCAGCACACCTGTGTAAGAGCAGATTTAACTTCTCTTATTTTTTCTCTAAACAGTAAAATTGAGAAAAAAAAATCTAAGAGAAATGTAAGAGAATGTTGCTGCATGGGGCCCAGTGATTGGCTAAAATAGGATGATTTATAACTGGGACAGAGCACACAATTCCCTTTGGTCAAGAGAGGCTTCTGAAATATTTTTTCTTTCTGATTTACATTTTATTTCATGCAATAATTTGCAGTGTAACATGAGAAGGATCAGACAAAAACTACTGAGGATTCATAAGAAACAATGAAAAGCTGAGATTTGGAATAGGCCTAAGCACAGAAACTATGTTCAAATCAAAGAGGATTAAGACATTGAACCTTACGTCAAATTAAATGTACAAAGAGGGCAGATATCCCTTTGTGCTCAGCTAAGAACTGGTACCTTACCACTGGCAACTGAGGAGGGCACAGTGGTGTAGTGGTAGTTGATGAGGTAGGTGTACTACTGGGTAGATGGGTAGGTTACAGAGGAGGAAGTGGGCATACTCTCCTATATATTACAATGGCTTTTTGGCTAATAGGTGGGTATACAGCCAGAGATGCTATAGCCCGCATACCTGCGTATACCCACCACTACACCACTGGGTAGGCAGATATGAAGGTATTTTTGTTGTTTGCTGAGGATGAATTTAATTTTGTGTTCCACTGCCTCATGTACAGTGTATTGAGGAATAATTTCTTTATAAATGTTTACATGAAGAACTCAATTTGTTTTGGTTATCTGAAGGTAACAAGTTGTGCTGGCTCTTTAATAAGGATATTTTTGCAATACTTACATGAAATGCATGGGAACTAAGATGGAGAACATTGTATCTATCATTATAAGATCTTTTTTATTGTGGAACTTTATGTTATGCCTGGGGCCTGTATCACGAAGCGAGATCAACCTTTCCTGGGTTACCCAGACCTATCCTGGGTTGACTAACCCTAACAATGGCAATCAGGATTATCGGTATCACGACGCTGGATATCAACTCGGTAACTCAACCCAGGGTTGCTTTATCAAGAACTGTGAACGCGCACGCAGCGGACAAATCACAATCACTGAGCGTCCTCACAGAGCGCCGTATGTGATGGGAAAAAAAAGTATTTCTAGTGAGGATCAGAGATTAATTCTGCTAAAATATGAGGAGGAGAAAAGCTACATTAGAGAAAAGGCCAACACCGTGGCAGCTGCAGGAGGAGGAAACATGCGTGGCAACGCATAACGGGATGAATAATGTTTAGTTTTAGTTTAGATTAGTTTATTTGCACATAATGTTAAAAACAGACAGTAGCCTATAAGATTTACAAGATTAAAAAAAGAAAAGTGCCGGAGAGGTTAGAAGCCACTAAAAGCTTGTCAAAGAAATTCCCCTGTCAAAACATCAATGAAATCACATAAAAGAGAAGAAAAAAAAAACGGGTCAGGAAAGAAGAAATAGAGGAGGAGAGAGGGAAAAATCAAGACAACACAAGGGAGCAAATACAATGATGTGTAGGTTAAATTACTCATCACTGGTTCAAGTAGCTACAGTACCTGTGCCTGTACATCTGACACTGATCACACCCTTGAATCCCATGAAATCAATGCTGCGCAGATGAATTGCGTGTATTAAAATTATCATCTAACATCACTGCGTCTGATAAATTGGTCTTCTTTGTCATAACGTTATATATGCTACAATAAAGCTTAAAGCTGACGCCACAATTAAATCATATCAACACCAAATTGATAGTCTGAATAAAATCATCCTGATATTGAGCTGTGTTAGAAATTAACAGCTGCGCAGAAATATAGCTAGTCTCCCTCTTTAAAAAACAAAAAGGAAAATCCCTCAAACACCATGAAGTGTAGACATGATAAGCTACTTTCCACATTTTCAGCAGCAAAGCTGTCAATTAGGCCCATTATCTTTAACAGGGATCATTTCCTCCAACAACAAAAAAATGTTGGCACTAATTAATGGTGCTATTAAGTGTCCGCAAATGATCAGTTTCTTTCTTATGAAGGGGTGGGATGAAATTTTGACTTTGACTCACTCCTTTTTGAACAATCTTTTCATTGTCTGTTGTTGTTGCTTTCTTTTTTTTTTTAATGCTCAAAATAAACTTTCAAATCAAAATCAATCAAATGAATTAAACTTCCCATCATGACTGGGCTGCATTTCTGTCAGCGGAGTCATTTTTTTCCGAACAGCTGATTGGCCAGTGGGTGGTGCTTTTTATAGGATCAGATTCAACCCTGAACTTACCCTGCTCCGGAGCAGGATAGCCGTTCAGAGTAAGTTACCATGGTGATCTACCCCGATAAGAACTGAACCGGCTTCGTGAGACTGAAAACCCAGGGTTAACCCTGAAGTTACCTAGCTAAGACATTAATCCTGCTTCGTGATACAGGCCCCAGGTCATGTGGCCACCCTGGTTGTTGTTTAGTGTCTTGTGACACACTGGGCTCCAACTGGGATCTGGGCTCCACACTCCAGTCCAGTAGGTGTCAGTAATGCACCTGAAAGCTGGTTTTCCAACCGCCATTTAACTCGAAGAAGAAGCATCATCATCATCAGCAGCAGCAGCAGCAGCAGAAGAAGAAGAAGAACCACAACAACATCATCATCAACAACAACAACAATGAAAGGAAGAACAAAAAGAAGAGTCCACAGAAAACAACATGGCGGCCGTCTGGTAATAAGCTCAAACTCTTGAATCATAGTTAACGTAAGCTAAAATATGTATCTGAAAACATTTGAGGTGAGAAACAGGCAACACAGTAACAGAGTCTTGGTTCATATTTTACCATCACTGCTTAGTTTCACCATTTGTTCTCAGTATTTTCAGCTTCAGTTTTTTGAGTTTTGTGTACAACGTCTCCATGACAACGCACAGTGCCAACCGGAAACAGGCGGTTGAGACGAGTATTAGTAATGCGCTGTATACACGTAGAAATATTGTCATTAAAACCTGAGCCTTTGTCAAGTGCTTCTCTGTATATCGCCATTTGTTTTTCACACTTACTTATACTTTGTGATGATGACCTCCTCCATCCTTCCAAAATGGCGGCGCTGCTGCCACAATGCTGCGATCCCATGAAAGGGGCGGGGGTGGGGGGGGGCGTGGCGTCACGCTCATTTGTTGTCTTTGTGACGTCATGTTACATCGAATGAAAGTTTATAAATAGACCCAGTCTTGAGGAGAAATATGAGGAGAAATATTGAATTTCTCCTTTCAACTCATCAGCCAACATGCCGGTCCTTCTTTTAGGCTTCGTTGTGGCTCCTTGGGTCCACAAAATTGCTGGTGGACTCATCAGGTCTGCGCTGGAGCATCTTGGCGACATTTCAGTTGATAACCCAGCAGAACCTGAAATAATCGTAGTGGATGATATTTTACCAACATCTCAATCAGACGAGACTGGAGGCGTCAGTCTAGTCGAGATGTTGCAAAATGCTGATGTTCGAACCTCAGGCCTGGGCCATCTGATGTCTGGCACGGTCTTTTCCACGGTCCAAACAAGATTAGCAGATTTTTTGGCCAGGGCCAGTGCGGCTGTTGCGTCCATGGCACAGTCAAGGATTGTACCCTTTATATCTGCGACACGAGAAAGAATCACAGCTTTTTTGTACATGGCACGAGAAAGAATCACAGCTTTTTTGTTCATGGCACGAAAAAGAATTGTGGATTTTGGGGTCATGATTCGTGATGTTTTCACATCTGTTTTCACCATGGCTCAGACAATAGTGTCACGCCGTTACAGCTTCTTAATCCAAGGCAAGGTCAGCTGTTGCCCCTTTGTATTCCATGGCACATTGGCGGGTCGCACCTTTTATGTGGAAGGCCAATCCAATAATCAGGTATTTAAATTCCATGGTACAATCATAAATAGCACTTTTTCGGTCCATGGCAAAATCCAAAATTACCCCTCTTTTGTCCGTGGCACGATTGAGAAAGGCATCTGTTTTGTCCATGGCAAGATCGGGAATGCCACCTTTTTTGTCCATTGCAAGATCAAGCATGAGATGTTTTCCTTCCATGGCGAGATGAGGTATCAGACCTTTTCTGTCCATGGCACGATCAAGCACAACGAATTTTGGAGTGATTAGAGATATTTTAACATCTGTTTTCACCCAGGCCAGAATTGCCTCTTTTTTTTCCTTCTGGGCACGTGCAGTTATTTTTGCCATAGCACAGCAAATGATTCAAGTTTTATATGGCTGGTTCCTACTAGAAAGTATATTTGTACTTCTTGCCATTGTTGGCCACCCTTTGCGGAGATGCAAAGTTATTCTCATGCACGGCCCTGGAGTAGGAACAGAATCACCAGAGTTTTCCTCATTTTTTGGTGGCAGACAGCAATGGCGTATGTTGGGTTTTCTCCGGGAACTCCGGTTCGCCCAATTTAAGATAAATAAAATTAAAATCAAAAAAAGAAAATCAAGGAATGTTTTGCATGTGTTTTTTGATGACTGTAAAAAAAGGGCGTATCATTCACTTCACACAACATGTTTACTTTTGTATGAATTGTTCCCTTTTTCAGGGTTTTTTAATGTTGCTTACATTTTATATAAAGATTCATCATAAGGCAAAGCACTGACATGTAACAACAGCACATTTCTGACATTCATTGTGTGTTCACAACATATGGTGTTGAAATTAATGCTGTATTGTAGGGGTGTAACAATGCATGTGTTTGGATTGAATTGTTCGGTACGAGGCTTTCAGTTCGGTATGCATTACAACCCAAATGATTAATGGAACTAATCCTTTTACATTTGGAAAATAGAATATACAGCTGAAATTGTGTTAATGTTCTCAGTGCCAAGCAGATATGAGATCCTACTCTGTAGTGGAAAATGCAGGCTTTATATACATGAAGCCTTTATACACGCAAAAAAAGTCCATATTATGATGCAAGGTTTAATACATTTTAAAATGTTCAAAAACAAGTAGATTTCTGTGGCATATTCTTTTGTTTGTATTTGATGATAACTACAGTATTAATCAGTATTAATCAGCGTCATGTGGAAGACTGATAAGAGATAGTCAGAAACACCCTCCTCTTCTTTACAAAGACTGGGCTCTGCATTCAAGGCACTGTTGTCATTTGCTGCTGGTAGAAGACTTGCACCATTCAATAATAGTTAGATTTTAATATAAGTGATGCGAGGATATTCTATCTGGAAGTTATCTTAAATAAACATTTTGATTTGGTCTATTAGAGCCAAACAGTTCACCAAAATACTTTTGTGAAGACATTTTATACAAAAAAAACGGCAATAGAAAAACAGAATCTTGGTTAATATTTGATCAGCACTGCCTCAATTTACCATTTGATCTGCAGGAGGAACGGGTGTCTCTCCCAACCTGCTTCTGCTTCTCATGCATCTGTGGTGATGGACATTTGAAAAGCGGACGTACAATCTATAGTTGGCTTTATCCATCTATTCCTATTCCTGAGGGCACGATGGTAGAAATGATCCCAAATTGTCATGATACAAAGCGGGAATAAGGGAAAATAAAAGTGGTAAACTGGATGTTAAAGGACCAAATGAATGAAGAAGATTGTGGGTGGAAGGTTGATATATGGGAAAACCATGAAGGAGACAATATTCTCCTGTTTTTACCTTGTAAAGTGACGGCACAGTAAAAAAAACAAAAACAAAACACAAACTGTTAGATTTAAGTTTATGTAAAGTTTCAGGGAAAAGAGAGCTGTGTTGGGCACCTCACAAAACTCAGCCACAGCTACAGTACTAGCCAGCAAAGACAGTCTAACACCAACTGTTTCCTCTTAACGTCTCTCCTTGAATGTACAATAGTTGTGTAATTGTAGCTATATGAAGATATGCAGTAATGATAAAATATTACCAATTTTGCTTTTGCCTCTTACAAGAGGAGGTAGTATAGTTATCCATTTGTGCTACCATCTTTGGCTGAATAAATCAAATGCAAATGTCAAAATGAGGACTAACACTCAGCCCTAAGACACAAAACTGGGGGTATTTTATCAGTTGTTATGATGACCGCTTTATCACAATGTCAAGATGATATGTAACATGCCATTAATGTGTGTTAACAATGAATGAATGAAAGTGTGTTGTGTGGTTAGCACTGCCACTAGGGAGCGCTATTGCCTTGAAAAGGTGCACTTGTTCTGCAATGGTGTTTAGATGGGTGGAGCAGGTCAAGTAGCTTCCACATGAATGCCAGGATCTGAGGTTTTCCAGCAGATCATTGCACTGTAATTAGCCAAAACTTTAAATCCACTGAAAGGCAAAGTGCATAACATTGATGTCTATCACTGTTATTCACTTTGCCTTTCAGTGGATTTAAAGTTTTGGCTGATTGGTGTAAAAATATATATGTATTCCTTTTCCTTTACTCACTGCTGCACCAAGCACTGTGAGCTATATCAACCATTTTTACTGTATTTTATACTTGTTACTAAGTTTACAGTATGTGACACTGGAAATTCAACTACCTCTTTTTATTTTGCAAACTTGTCTTGTAACAGTTGAGTTCACCTTTTTCTTGATCCACAGCTGCACTGTCACTGTGCTGTCACATTATTTCATTACTCCCCTTTTATCACATTTTTTATATATCATCCTGGTGTTGTAATAACATTTTGAAATTGAAGATTTTTCATATTTTAATAAAGGTATTAATGAAGATCATGTCCTGAGTTTGGTTTTTATGGTGCATATCTGGTCTAAATTAAAACAATAATCAACATGCAGAAACACACTGATGGCTTTGCTAGATTTGTAATTAATTACAACACTATTTATATGTTTGTTTTACTCAACAACATAAATGACAGAACAAATGTTGCCGTCCTTGAACATTTGACTATGAAGAATAAAACAACAAATATTACAGTTTGTGATTTCTGGTGTATTTTTCTAACATTTATTATGACACTGAAAAACACACATTCACCAAAGTTCCCTATTAGATAAATTACGAGGCATACGGTGAATCTTAAATTTAACTACACAAGAGTGTTCTGTAGTTACCGAAAAATGCACTCAGTACTGTTTAATCACGGTGGGTTTATTTAAAATTCAGTGAAACGGAAAAATATAATCAGAAATTACATTATCTATCTATTCACAGATTTTTAATGAGGGGGACTGTGAGGACCGTGGCAAAACCTTCAGCTTGCTCCTTCCTCATTGTGGATTTGGAGTTGAGTTTTAGGATCATTGTTCTGTTGTAGAAGCCGTCCTCTTTTCATCTTCAGCTTTTTTACAGATGCTGTGATGTTTGCTTCCAGAGTTGACTGGAATTTATCTGAATCCATTATTCCCTCTACCTGTGAAATGTCCCCCGTGCCACTGGCTGCAACACAAGCCCAAAGCATGATCCATCCACCCCTGTGTTTAACAGTTGGACAGGTGTTCCTTTTTTCTCCAAACATACCTCAAAGTTCTATTTTAACTTCATCAGTCCACAGGACTTGTTTCCAAAAAGCATTAGGCTTGTTCAGATGTTCCTTTGCAGACTTCTAATGCCGAATTTTGGGGTGAGGACACAGCAAAGCTTTTCTTCTGATGACTCTTCCATGAAGGTCATATTTGTACAGGTGTCACAGTAGAACAGTGCACCACCACTCCAGAGTCTGATAAATCTTCCCGCAGGTCTGGGGCGTCAGTACCTTAGTGGAAGAGCAGGCACCCCATGTACAAGGCTGTTGCTGCAGCAGCCCAGGTTCGACTCCAGCCTGTGGCCCTTTGCTGCATGTCACAGTCTCTCTCTCCCCCTTTCACGCTTGTCTGTCCTATCAATTAAAGGCCAAAATGCCCCAAAAAATATCTTAAAAAAAAAAATCTTCCTGCAGGCAGTTTTGATTTGATTTGATTGTCTCTCAGAAAGTGTTCTTGGTCTTCCAGACCTCATCTTGACCTCCACAGTTCCTGTTAACGGCCATTTCTTAATGACATTACAAACTGAGGAAACAGCTACTTGAAAACACTTTGCTATCTTTTTATAGTCTTCTGCTTTGTGGGCATCAGTTATTTTAGTTTTCAGAGTGCTCGGCAGCTGTTTAGAGGAGCCCATGGCTGCTGATTGTTGGGACAAGGTTTCGGTAGTCAGATAATATATAAAGCTTTGAAATGTCTTCTTTTACTCACTTAATTTTTTCAATCTTTCAACTGTAAGCAGAGGATGACTGATTGAAACAGTCCTCTTTTATTTGTTTCTGAACAGGGAACCTTTATTGAGAAAATATAACATTGCTCACTATAAAACAGATAAACTTTTTCTCTCTCATGTTTTAGAAGGTATGTTCACATAGACCTGTTTGGAAACTTGGAAATATACTAAAATACTGGAGCTGCAAACTCTCATTTTCCTGTGTCTTCCTGACAGAGACTTCAGCTTGTATGTTAACACGGTCAGTTTGTTGTAATTTCTTACGTTATCTAGGCTATGTGTGTGCAGAGAAATATGAACTAATCCGACTGCTGGAGGAGCTGAAACTCTGCTTCTCCGCAGTAAATGGACGATAAAAACAGAAACTTCTTCTAAAGCAGCCTCGGGCATTATTACGCATCACCGTCATGCTGTAGCTTCTCCAAAGCAGCATTAAACAAACAATATGTCAACAAGCTTTGTGTTATTTACAGTTATAGTTCAGTGGACCCGTGGGTGTTATGTTGCTACACATGTTCGCACCTTATTGTCGTCCGGGTAGTTTCACATACCGACGTCATCAGTTCCGCGCCGCAATTTGCCGATTAACATTTAAACCAAACCTTCCAGGAGCTTTCATTTTGATTGAATAAATAAATGAATAAATAAATAAATGTTGAACTTGAGTAATGCATTTTTTTTTTTTTGCAGGTTTTGAATGATTTCACTTAAGTTTTGCAAAGAAAATCATTAGAAGTGTGTCTCATATAATTTTCAACATCCTTCAGAAAACCACCAATATGACACCAATATGAGGTTTAATATAACTAAACTTACATTTATGGATAAAATCCTTTACCAGAATCATCACTAAGTTAATTCTAAAAAAAAATGTCTTCTTTTTGGAAACCTGAGGAGACCAAATACCACATTTTCCCCAAATCATGTGAAGTCTTTAGAAATCTTCAAAAGACCTTCCAGAGTTTCTTGGTGTGAGAACAATCCCTGAAAAGACGTAAAACAGTTTCAGACTGGTCATTACAGAAAGAGCAGTTTGTGTTTATGACTTTGTTGTATTTTTGTGTGTAGTGATTGGCAGGGTAATATTTATAAATAATTTTACACAATCAGGTATTCATGAGGAAGCATCCAAACTTCGTATATATATTATTAACAGGCCGATTCCAATATGCCACAACGTATGAACTAAGCAGAAAAAGTAAGGAAATTTGTGTTTGGTAGTGTATTTCTTTTTTGTAACAAAGTTTCTTGGTAATAAATCTTATACCATTGGAAAGCCTGTTTATTTCCCTTTTAAATGGTGCCACATTTGTAAGGAACATACATTTGTGGGATGAGCAGCAGAGCTGAGTATGTGGGTTGCGCCAATGAAAAATTTGCAAATCTTCTTTGCCAATGTCGAACAGCTTTTTTTTTGGCTGTTGCTATTGACTGATTGTCAGCACCTGGGGGTACGATTTATTGCCAAGAAGCTTTGTTACAACAAAGAAATAATCCAACAAACACAAATTTTCTTACTTTTTCTGCTTAGTTTAGAATAGAGACAACAGATCAAGAGTGCCCTCTTGGCAGCCAAAGTGCCCTCCCGGGAGCCAAAAAACACACTAAACTGCCCTCTTGGGTGGTAAAAACACGTGCTAAAGTGCCCTCCTGGTTGGCAAAACACACTAAACTGCCTTCTTGGGTGGAAAAAACATTACTGTTGCAATGTCTTTTATGTTGGGCCCTTTTCTGATCTATATTGAGCCAGAACTATATCTCACAGAACCACTTTGGATTATCTGGTGCTAACAGGGTGTTAAAATGCACTAGAATACAGGAAATGGCATCTACTTAATTGAAAAATTTCTGGGGGAGGACCCCCAGACCCCCACAGGGATTTATTTCTTTCATACAGCCATGTCTCTGTGTCTTCTTCACAGTCTAACGTTGAATCTACACAGTTCTTGTGGGTGCTGATCCTAACTACAAACTAACTTGAGTAGTCTGTCTAGTTAGTCTGTTTTAAGGCTATATAATGTGCCATTTGTATAACATATAAACATGTCAAAAGTGCCCTCGAAAACACGCGGAACTTAGTGCCCTCTTCAGTGGCGAGAACGTGCTGTATGTGCCCTTTTTTTTTCTTTTCACCCCTGCCCTTCAAAAAGTCTGTGCACGCCACTGTCACTAAGGTTTTTTTTGTCAAAAATGTTGTTTATTAATGTTTATATCAGCCCTTGTAGTGGACATCAGGACAATGTTTTACACAAAACAGTACACTTAATTACACTAACTTACAGTACATTTACATTATAAAAAAAATCTCCTTTAAGAAATGTAATATTAAGGGTATTATGCATGCTTTTAACTGGATATAAATGGTGCCTGTGCTTATGGAAAATAATTTCTGTGTACCCTGCCTTGGATCTATGTTAAATAGCTAAGACTATAGAGCCCTAGTTTATGTGTCACTTCCAATCTAAAACAAGCGCTGGGCATCAGTAGTTTCTTCCTTAGGCTTCTCCTCAGCTGATATGTCCTCCTCTGAGCATCCTGCTCTGCTGCCCAGCTTTGAGGCTTTTCCCTGTTTCCTGAGGTATGGAAAATGGTGTAAAATGAAAAGAAGCAAGCCCCATTCTGCCTGACAAAGGATATGGATTGTAATGGGTTTTTTGAAAAGGTTAAAATTAACATACACTTCTAAAATCTTAATTTAATATAGTTATGACACATGAATAAAAAACAACAACATTCATATGAGGAAATAAACAATATATGTTTTATTTATTTAATCATTTATATCCCTTACTGCCAGAGGATGTGTCCTGTTGGTCACGCCCTCATGTGTTTTACATTTATAGTCTCCTGAGACCCCATGTCCGCATATGAGGACATCACATTTTGGGTTTACTTGACCTTATACTTAATTCTACTTGTCGTGGACCTGTTCTACTTCTGCTTTTTTGTGCCATTTAGTGGTAGTTAGAGCACAATACACTAATCCATGTAAAAACAAGATGGCAGCCATCTCTGCCAAGTCAGTCTGCAGCCAATCCGGAAACAAAAGTGGACAAGGTCCAAAACCTGATCACATTTTATGGTTGTAACTAGTTAATTTACGATTAATAATGTTTGTAGTTCCATATGACAACACATTTGAACAATTTTAGCAACAGTAACAAGCTAAGACACTGTTAATTAGGAAGTACTCGAAGACACTGGAAATTTTTCATCAGCTCACTGAAGTACATTAGGCTTTGTTATCGTCTCATTTGAGGACATTGGGACTTTATTATCGTCTCGTTTGAGGATATAGGACTTCATTATCGTCTCGTTTGAGGACATTGGGACTTAATTATCATCTCGTTTGAGGAAATTAGGACTTTATTATCGTCTCGTTTTAGGACATTGGGACTTAATTATCGTCTGGTTTTTAAGGATATAGGACTTTATTATCGTCTCATTTGAGGACATTACGACTTCATTATCGTCTCGTTTGAGGAAATTAGGACTTTATTATCGTCTCATTTTAGGACACTGGGACTTTATTATTGTCTCATTTGAGGATATAGGACTTTATTTTCGTCTTGTTTGAGGACATTAGGACTTCATTATCGTCTCGTTTGAGGACATTAGGACTTTATTATCGTCTCGTTTTTAAGGATATAGGACTTTATTCTGTATCGTTTAAGGACATTGGGACTTAATTATCGTTGATAATGTTAATTTTTTTATACTTATCAGGTCCTGCCGGTCCTTTAGCAAGGAGGAATTGAAAATGCGTAGGCTACCAAATAAAAGTTCAGAGGATATCTCCTAGTTTGAAATTTGTCAGTTAACTTTGTTCAAATTCATTACTGGATTACCAATAGTTATAAATGCAATTTTACCAAATAGAAATGACAAACACACCTTCATGTTTTTTCTCTCTCACCCTGACAAATCATTTTTAGTTATTGTTATTGGCTTATTCCTGATCTAGTAGCACTAGTACATCTTTTTATTAACCACTGACAAAGCAATCTATTTTTTTTTTATTTAGATAAAAGGTTTTAGTTTGTCTTTGAGGCTCCTTTGCAAGCGTTAAAAATCCCAACAGGCCGAGACAGCCACACCTACCAGGAAGTGTTGGGTTCAGTAACATGAGAGGCCACTATGATGCTCATCATCCGTATGTCCTGACAAAGACGGATTTTTTTAATGTTAAAAAGCATGAATGAAAGCATCTAGTCAAACAACAGCCCTGAAAACACCCCCCTTTACAGTCTGATGAGCAGCGGAAATGTTTCCTCCAGATAAAGTTTGTGATGGGAGGACTGCTTTCTATGAATCTCAGGGGATGATGCTGCAGCTGCAGTTTGTTTGCAGCCTGTTTCGGTTGCAGATCTGATCATGAGGCCGAGAAAAGCAACAAGATGCACATCGGATAAATTTTCCTCTCAACAGTGTCTCCGCTGCAGAGTTTGAATCAGGATGCCTCGGATGATGCAGAGACGCTGCTGCCCCGTGTTGCTCCTCCTCGACAGACTATTTGATTCAAGTGTGTAAAAGGGACTTCAACCGGAAACCAAACTTTTTTCTGCGAACTTTTTTTTCACTGAGGCTAAACAGGAAAAAAAAGTCAGAGACGACCCTTGGTGTCATAAACGGTACGGTTCCTTATTTTCTTCATTGACGTGTGCTGTTGGAAATGTGTCAGCGGCCGACCAACTGGGGAGACGTAAACAGTTTCTGGCGAGGATAAGGGCGACGTCGAGTGATTTCAGGCTGCTCAGCGCTCACATAACGGATTTTGGTCCTTTATCATGGAAGATGTGAGTAGTCACTTCAGTCCCTCCGTGTGTGCTGCTTCGCTCTTTGTAGCCGTCTTTGCAATGCAGGGCTGTAGTTTTAAGATACTTTAAGAGAGTGAATACTTGAGTATGCATGTGATGTTATAAACTCAGGGAGCACAAAACTGCAAGGGCGCGACCGAGTTATTAGAGCAAAGTTAGGGCCCCTAGAAAGAGGTGGCAGGCTGATACTCATCAGAAAAACAAGTTAATTTGGGATTTTATAGCGATGCCAGCCTCTCTTCTGCAGCCATTTAAAGTCAACACAACTTGGCACAAAGCACCTGCCCCACCTGTCAATCTGTTTCATCAACTTCTTGGTCAGAGTTCATAAGAATAGCGACGAAAACTGGAGCGTTGCAAACCCCGTTTAAAAATCCCGCATTTTAGTGTAGCGCTACGTCTGGATGTAAATACATAACTTTTAGAACAAAAAATCAAACTTTTTCTGACTTAGATATGCCCTCCAGCAAATTCGGCTTCATTACAATACCTATTTATCTCGTGTGCATTGCATTTCATCGTATAGTATTGGGCTACACACGCCCCATAACGGTTCGTTTCAGCCAAGGAGGATATGAGGTATAACGTGTCTAAAGGGTGAGGTTTCATAAATGAAACATACCTGGTGGATTATACCTAAGCCGAATTTACTACGTCAAGTCAAAGTCTCAGAAAAAATGCTAACAAAGGTTTAATGACGTTTACTGTTTTGATAATATCCAAGTCAATTCTGATTTGCCGTATTTATGAATGATATTTGGCTCACTGTTTTCAACAGGCTAAGAATAATGTGAAGTCTTCTCAAAATACACTATTCTAAGGGCATTTTAAATTTTAATTTGTGGCATCTGCATTAAAGAACTCAACATTTTATCCTTAAAACACACATCACACACAATGAAATGTAATGTAACAGTGAGAAATGTGGCATTTTGAGGAAGCCGACTTGCTAGAAAAAGGAAGTCAAGTAGTTACCTACAGTATGCGGGGAACTTGTTGCAAGCGTTTTCAAGCATGCTGTACCCCGCCCTTTTATTGTAACACTGATTACACACTCTTAGCTCCCTTCCTTTCTCCATCCAGTATCTGATATGATTAAATACAGACTTTCCTACTCTCCTATAGTCACTCTCCAGTCCAGACTATGAAGGCTATCAACCATTTAACAGCTGCAGCCCACAGTTAAACCTTATTCTCACATGCATCTTCCACCATGAAGTGTGTTGGCCCAGTGTGACAATTTTAACTTTCACTTTATCAGAATTAAATGCAGATGATGTAGGTGAAATTAAGGCCATAAGCAGAGCTGAAGCTACAAATAGAGCGCATGTTTAAATGGTTTCCATCAGGTACAGACGTCAAGAAATACAACAGGGATATTTCCAGATTTGTAAGTGATTTGCCAGAATACTTCTTCAAACAGGAACAGCTGTGATGGCGGTGTGGTCTGGATGATGACTTTAAAAGGTTGCATTTTCCATCGCTGATTTCATTTATCAGTGCTGTGTTTGTGTTTTTTGGATGACATTGTGTGTCATTGTGTGACATCAGCATTGGAGTCTGAGTAGATGCTTGTGCAGCAGATGGTGGTGGGACTCGAGTCCTGCCCTAAAATCAAGTGAAAATTTAATCCGTCAACATCATTATAACATTACTGTAACTGTATTTCAAGTTATACGTGGAGGGATGACGTTATGAAGGAGGTTACATTATATGGCGTTATTCATAATATTTGAAGAAAACAGATTTAATTGTTTGCTTTAAAACTTAACTATGGACATTTTGTGATATGAGACAATGACATCCAGTGCGGCTGGGGCTTACCCACAAGGCCACCGCCATTAAAGTGGAAAAAGGGTGAGCCAGTAACACTTGTATTGAGCGAGACACTGCAGCGAAACAGGCTGCAGTGTAACCACTCAGGACATATGTGCACCACATCCACTAAAAGTGTTTATTTTTGCCACTGACAGGCTCAGACTGTTATTCAAAGTGTCTGGCAACATTATGGAAAGGATCCCTACAGAGATAGACCTTTTTGTAAAAGAGGAAGATCCTTTTTTAAAACCAAAAACAGCAAACCCACCAGATTCCATTTAAATAAACAGTAATTTTAGCGTGCATAGAGGCAGCATGTTTTCACATCCAACTGGGTGAGTTACGGATTTATTTCAACCAAACCAAAGTTGGTGATGTTGGAAAATTGGACAGACGGACCAAGATGTTTTTTGTGACTTTTATTTTGCGTCAATTGAGTTTAAATAAAGTGTGTTTGATAAAGATAAAATCACTGTTTATTTAAATGGAGTCTGGTGGCTTTGGGGAAAGCGATTTAGGGGCTGCTTCTGGTTAAAAAAAAGGACGTAACTCTTCAACAAAAAGGTCGAACTCTGAAGGGATCCTTTCAATAATGTTGTCAGACACTGACAGAATAATCTGAGTTTGTCAGTGGCAAAAACAAACACTTGACGGTGCACTAATGGCTCCATTGCAGCCTGTTTCACGTCTGCCATCTGCAGTGGTCTCACTCAATGCTGGACCATTTTGAAAAACTGTGTTCCCATTAGTCTCTAAGGGTGCTTTCACACCTGTCTCGTTTGGTCCAGTTCAATAGAACTCAAGTTCGTTTGCCCCCTAAGTGCGGTTCATTTGGGCAAGTGTGAACACAGCAATCACACTCAGGTGCGCATCACAACAACTGGAGGGGGTCTCGGTTACAAACAAACTCTGGTGCAGTTCATTTGTGGTGAGAAGGTGTTCGACCTCAGTCCGATCCAACTGCAGTCACATGACACATTGTTTGGGTTAAACATGAGCATGTTACAGTCCTGGAGGATTATTAATGTGCACCTCCTCCTGTACTGCCTTAATATGCACATTCAGCACATCCAATGCATCAAAACATTGTTTTCTAGTTGGAGCCGCGCCTCGTTTTCAAACTGTATGGTTTGACTAAAATGAACAATGACAGCAATGTAGTCCACGATGAGCAGCGCTAAAATCAACCTGCGTAGTTGTCCCTCCATTGTGACATTAGAAAGTGTCACATTTATCTTGCAAGTGTACTCTCCTTCAATGCTTTGTTTACTTCCTGGATTTTTCCCACATGGAAATTCTGACCAATCAAGAGCAGCTTTCTCACACAAGGCATTTGATCTGGTCCGCTTGTAAATGCTGCTGTGAGAACACGAACCAGCTCTAGGCAATTATGCAACTTCGCAACAAAATTAGTCCCTGACTCAGACCAAAGCAAGACAACTCTAGGTCTGAAAGCACCCTAAGACGCAAAGCATAGGAAAATAAGTTCCAGGTTGAAAAATATCAAAGTCATATTTAGTTTAGTTTTATTCATTCTGCAGTGACAGAGGTCCTTAGATGTTGATGATAAAGTTGGTGTATTGATAAAAGGTGACTGTGACTAAGTGCAATGGAAACAGATTCAACAAATTAATGATGACTTACAGTCACAACATACCGTCTTTGCATAGGCCACTGCAGGCTCTCTTGAGACAGTAGTAGAAGGAAAAGCACATAAATTTGCATTTTCTTTGCTGATTTTCGGAAAATGTGAAGAGGTGTGATGTGCTCTAGTGAGTGGTGTGAGATGCTGTGACATTAACGTGTCCAAACATCTTTTTTAACCCCCCTCCGAAAGTAGGAAAATGTGCTCAATAGCTGCGGTTTGTAGTTTATATTTTCTCCTCACAAAAAGTGAAATTCATTTTGACCCTTCTCATTTTGAAACTGTTGTGGTTTGGATATTGTTCTCTTATATCTATAGCTGATCTGAAACTAGTGCTTGGTGTTTATGACTGGACAGACTGTTAATATGAACACCCACTGCTTGGCCCGCTGCCGACTGACAGCTGTTGGGTTCTTATCTGTGTCTTTATTTTTTATTTGGCATTTCCCGTTCTCCTCTGCTTCACACTCTGCCCTTTATCTTCTTTATCTTTCACCTCTGAAACACTGTGGCCCTTCCATGACGATCATTTGTCTCAGCTCTGTGAGTCATCCTTTTATCACCATCCCACTGACCCAGAGTGCAGAGTGTGACGTGTCTGCCTGACCCATTCAGCAAAGAGGAAACAGACTGCTACATTATGTGTCAGGCAGAAAACAATTAACCCTCTCTCATCATCGTCCTGCTATCCAGGCCTGTGCTGCACAATGGATGTGTGTGTGTACACATCGTCTTACTGGGGCACCGCTGACAATTTTCTGGGAAAGTGCTTTTATGAAAAAGGAAGTCCTCAATAGTGAATGCATGCGAGTGCTCTGGAATTTGTGTCCTTGCAGAGACAAAAGATGGAAAGACGGGGAAAATGTTCTTGTGGAGGACATTTTGCTCATTTCTACTCACTGCACAAGGGGTTAATTTAGGATTAAATAGAAATAGTGAAGTAATACTGTTGTTCGTTTTTTGACACTTCTCCATATTTCTCACTTTTTATTCTTCATAGTATCAGGACCTGTGTCCTGTTCACAGAGTTGCAAAGTGGGAAGTAAAAGTCCTGTTGTTTTTTTCTACATAATGTCAGGTGACTGGCAGTTGGAGCACTTCCACAGCCAGGATGAGTGTGAAATTAATGTATTTTTAGGGCATTTTGCCTTTAATGGACAGGACAGGTACGTTTGAGGGGGGTAGAGAGAGAGGGGGGATGACATGCAGCAAAGGGCCACATGCTGGACTTGAACCCAGGCCGCTGCGGCAATAGCCTTGTACATGGGGTGCCTGCTCTACCCACTAAGCTACTGACACCCCGCTTGAAATTAATATTTGAAACAGCACAAGCCTGTGTGTATAAATATGTTTCCGCAGTGCATTTCAGTAACAATCATCTAATCATTGAACTTAAAATTTTGGGCACCAATAACACTGCGCAAAAGTTAAAGATTGTGCTGTTGACAAACAATTAAGGCTGCTTTCTGGAGACACCATAAACCAGTGATACTCAACTTGCAGCCTGCGATAGGGT